GAGGAAAATGTCAGGAAAAAAAAAAGAGGAAAAATTAGTGGGAAAGAAGGAAAAAGGTATTGTGATGAATGTAAAGATGAAAGTAAGAGAGATAAAGCAGGTTGTAGTGGATAGGAGGAGGAGGAGAGAGAGAGAGAGAGATTTGGTCCTAGCCAAATGTTTGGGCAGAAAGAAAAGAAGAAGGAAAAACGAAAAGTGAGTTTTTTTACAGGAGGAAATGAGTTTGAGGGGTCACTATTATTAGTTGTGCCACTTGATGTTAACATGGAAAATGTGCTTCTCATATACCACACATGGAAAATGTGCTTCTTTACATGGTCAAATAAATGTTCACGTGTCAGATGTTTTAAAACTACTTAATCGGGAGTTTGTTTCCAAAACAACACCCCTTGAAACTTTTTTTCATATCTGAGAGTAATACTGATTCAAAAGTAATTTCTATAATAATGGTAGTACTCAATAAATTTAGGATAGGTGTTCATATTATAGAAGGACAAGTATTATGAATTATCAATTGACATGGCAGTAGGGCTCAACAGGGTCTATCAAGATTGGTACAAACAATAATGCCACGACACCACCTAGTGCCACGGCAGGCATTCCAAGGCCGCGATAGACACCATCACCGCGAAGGGCAGGACACATTGGAAATGGCAAAACACCACCACAAAGGTCCAGGAGCAACCTTGATGTGATTCGCCTCACCCATTGCAGAAACAAGACACAAGGTTGAGATTGTACAACCGACATAAATTAATATCCTTAACTTACTAGACATCATTGCTCGATTGAGACACTAGACTAATCGGAGGGGTCTCCACCTAGGAACAGGGCAATATAACTCTCCTCAAGGGAGAACCGAGCAATAGAGGCCGACGAGCATTATTATCAACTTCTATCTGGGGCAAGGTTTCAAAGATTTAGTCTGCTCGAATAAAGTGTATGACTCACTGTCTACTAGGATATGCTTGACTAAGATTTAGAAGGATTTCTAAAGTAACTTGGGTTATTAATTCATACTAACATATAGAATAATGAGATATGTGAACTGATGACTGAAAAATCAAAACTATGTAAATTTCCACTATCGAATACCTCAACAAAGGTCTCAAAAAAGTGTTTAGAGAGAGAAGGCAAACGCCAAGTAAGAGTGCGCGGGGGGCATCACGTACATGACCCTCTCGAGATCATGATCTCATAGTGACCGGTCATGATCATTTAACCTTTGGAGCCCCTTTCGCCTCCACTGTTGCACCTTCCCCAGAGCCGCATCTAGATTTCATTTGGAGAAAACGTTACATTTGAGTTTACAACTTTTGCCCGTTACCATTTTTTACTTTTCATGTCCATCTCAAGACAATTCAGATAAAATAAAATACAGCTCGTACGCATCGTATTGCTAATAAAAATGAATTTTCACACTCAAAAGTTAGGTAAATCACTTCCCTGTGTGAAAGCATAAATATATATCATTTGTTTTTACAACTGAAATTCAAATGGAGGGTTGTTCAATTGCACCTCTTCAAGTCCTAGTCCCTGGATAGAAGTATTCTACACTATTTTCCTTGACCCTGAAATGGAAATTGCGCATCTTATTCCTAGAGATTCTGGAGCCATCACAAATTCCCTTGTTCATCACTGTCAACTGCACGAAACAAAGAAACCGAAAACTGTTGTGAGAAGAAGTTGGGAAAAAAAAGAGGTGATAAGTAATTCACACAAACCCTAGTTCCAACGGCCAGTCAGGGGCTGAAACTCCGAATCACATCTGGGATATCAGGAAATGCCACTCAAGCTAACACTTGATGAGCAGAAGAGTCATTTTCTTCTTCAATATGAATAGATTTTTTTCCTAAAATGCATGCACGTGTTATACTTTACTCATGCCTAATGGGAGTAGGACTACAATTAATATGCCATTGAAATTTCTTATCCAGGTCACTGAGTCACCATCTGACAAGATTTAATAAGAGCCACAAATTTTTTTTACTACTTTTAAAGATTTAATTCAGAAAGGCTAAAAAGACCTCTATGACCATGATACTCTGTATGTATATGTATGTACTCCGAAATGATCATTAGTGTTCTCATGGCATTGAGAGAGGTGGACTGGGTACAAATCTAATCTTTCTATTATTTGCACAAAATGAATGCCTTCAAATTCGAATCACCTACCAGATGTCAACCTGACACTTTAAGTGCACCAAGCAATGAAGTGATGAACCCTTAAAAGTAGGATGACTGTATTTTACTTTATCAGTTTTGACTTTGAAAAGATCAAAACAAAAACCTAAAAATATTAGGAGTGTGTGGTATAATTATATTGTTTGGATTAACAGAGGTAAAACCTTAACACAAAAATCAAAATTGTAAAAGAGTGCAGCATTATTCAATAAACCCTTTCAATTTTCAGATACAGGAAGTCAATATAATTATTCCAAAAAAACACTTTAAAAAACATTACTATCATACAAAGATACCTGTCCATGCACATCAGTTGCCAAACCAGTGGCCAAAGGTTCAGCTTTTATCAAAGTATCTGCAAGGTACTCCATTTGTAAAATGAGGGAAGGTCTGTCTGTTCTTGAATAAATATCCCGGTGATTAAGAATAACTAAGGAACAACCCTGTGAGAACAAAAGGTAATGAACATTCGGCTCAACAACAAGCGTTTAACAAACTAAGTAGAGACCAAGAGTTCATAATTGACATGATTTCTTACATATTGGGATGTTAAAGTGTGGCAGTAATGCAGAAAGTTTAAGACATGATTTGAAGAACCGTGAGCAGCCACCTCCATGAGGGATATATCATCTATGATAACAGTAATGTTCCTCCCTTTAGTTGAGTAACCGTCTTCCACAGCTTTCTGAATTTTCCTATACAACAAAAGAATTCCACCTTTGCTAGCTGTTTCTCCATCTCCATCTAATCATGGATCAAGTCAAAATGGACTTTTGTGATTAAATATGTACAATCATTTTGTTTTCTGAAAAGAAACATGTCAGTTATTCATCACAAACTCTAGCCATTAGTTCTTTAGAAACACACGAACTTATGTACACAGAATTATAATTCACAAATTTGGACCAATAAACATGAAGTTGTGAGTTCGAATTTGAGAGCAAGGGCAATCATTTTGGGAAACAATTAATGGATACTAAATTAAGTGTTACCCATGTTCATACTTCATAAACAGGGAGTTGCTAAAGGCATGAAGTTCCATGGCTTTGTGGATTAGGCACTGTGGATGGCACAATTCAGCTAATCTAACGTAGCCCCCAAAATTATAGTGTGGATTCAAACATGAAACACAAGATAAAACTATGGACTAGGAAACCAATATACTGGCTGATATCTGCATCCCAAAACAAAATTAGATCCTCAGTTTATATGAATAGTATGTTTCTAGTGCCCATTAGATATTTGCAAGGGTATACATAAGGCTCTAATAGTTATTTTTACCTGTTAATCTCACCTGGACATTCCAGCATAAGCATATCCAAAAATAGGAATCTTTTATTATCTCTTTGCGTTAGTAAGTTGCAACCCTATCAAAGCAAAAAATTAGAGACGTATTAAACAGCATTCAGGAAAATAAATTTAATAACTAGCAGTATATTGATGATTACTCTAACAGCATACAATCACTAGGGGATTTGTATGACCAAGAAAACCATACTTAGTTAAGGTGCTGTGACTGTAAGACATCACTGCATATGCATCATGTTTTTCACAAGACGATGGTCAGGGTTATCAAAAGCTCAAAACCATTGGTGGCACCATGGCAGATTTATCACTTCTTATCATGCTGCATACATAAGTTGAAATCTTCCCTTTTGTTGCTGGCAATATTCTCATAGTTAAACAAGACATAAACCCACAAATTATTTTATTGGAAACTGCACAAAAAGAACAGACACTCAGAAATAATACTCAGCCAGTCAACAACACTTTAATACTGTAATGGAAGTATACCTTGGGACATGAATTCAAATATAAGTATAATTTGACATTTCTTCTTTCCTTTTCTCACAGAATTTTAGCTTCTTTTGGCATGGTGTTAGGCCAAGTGCCATTTAGGTAGTTTTGATAACATATAAGGTCTTGTATTTAAAAATCAAACTACAATGTCAATCAGAAAATTCAGAATATATACAGGACAGATCAACCCGAGTCTTAGATTCACAAGTGATATGCACATACAGAAACATATATCTGATACTTTTCAGCCATTTGTGTGAGATATGTATCTGCATTTTGAAGCAGCTCATTACGACATTCTCCCAGATGATCAGCATGATGGACCACAATATCCAGACAACTGCGTCAACATGTGTCTAAAGCTATTTAAACATGAGAAAAAATATCTACACCTGCTCACTCTGCATGGTTCTTCCGCACATTGCATTCAAAACATCATAACTACTCGCTTTGTATGTTTCTTCCACACATACAAACAATTTCATCAGACAGGAAAATAAAGTAAATTCTAGAATGCACACATAATTACTACTTCAAGTATCCAAGCTTCACCAATTATGAGCAACCAGAACAGGTCTTCCCTCCCCATCCCCTTCCCAACTCTTGTAGGCACACTACGCATAGAATCTCATATGGAGAATTAGTTGCTGCAAATATGCAAACTTTTGAATTTGAATTCTTACAAGTGTACCAATTAAAATTACTTTAGTGAGAAAAAGTAATTAGCTTTCTGCTGATTATCGTAATCTCCTCCATATTCCAGCTTGCACAGCTCACTACTTTTCCCTTGCTAATATTTGGATCAAGTGACTGCGATGATAATGTCCAATTCCAATGTGCTATACAATTATTCTAGAGACAGGAAGTTGGAAAATAGGTTGAATGTTCAGGATTTTTCATTTGGAACCTTCATCAAGTTTTGGCCCAATGAAAATTATTTAGTTAAACTATGTCATCTATATGAATATAGCTATAAATATTGTTTTAATTGTACCTCACATGAATGAATTACAACCCTTGCCCCTCCCCAACAAATCCTGGATCCACCAAGGCTTCAATCATCCAAGAATTATTGCAAATACCAACTTTACACCCAATACATGTAGTCCCCACATCCTAACGACGTAAAATCATGTAAATAACCAAGTACAACTTGCATGCCAACTAAAGCTACTGATTACACATATATACCACCCAACGCACCAAGCTGTCGAAGAACTTGGAAAGCTTCACATCTAGTACAGTTGACCAACAAGTGCCCCATTTTCCGAACAAACCCAATCAACAAGTCAACAGGATCATTCAGCCAACCAACCAATACAATCCTATTCAGTGTATTAACCCAAAATCCCAACAAAAAAAATCCGCATTTTAATCTCTATATCACCAAAAGCGCAAGCGCCACAGAGACATTGTTCAGTTTTAATCGACTAGATGATACAATTTCAAAATTGTGCTGATTCAAAAACAACCCAACTCATAGAAACACATATTTCCATCCCAAAATCACCAGGAAAATAACAATACAACGTTTGTCATGAGAGAGAGAGTACCATTTTTCGGAGAATGCGATCGTAGTGAGAAAAGGGTTGAGCGAAGGCGACGAAAATGACGACACCAGACGATTGAGGGGAGAGAGAGCGCTTGATGAGATGATGAAGTAAAAATGAGCCGCTAGTCTCCACGCAGTCCTCGATGAGCACGACTCGGCCTCTAGTGTTCGAAGAAGGTTCCGTCTGATCGATATCGTTCAGTCCTAGAGCTTCATCGAGTAAGTTCACCGTTGAGTTCATGACGGATTGAGACACAAGCTTCTAGGGTTTACGGTTTTGATCGAACGAAGGAACTAAAAAGGCGACGGTTTTGGTGTGTGTCGGGAAACTCGGTTCATGTTGCGCGTTTGGTTTGTGTTAAAAAACATGTTATTATAATTCGTTTATTAATTTTTGTTAATAAATCATGTTATATTGAATTTAATATGATATTTTTAAATTTGAGTTAAAATAGTCTAAAAAATTTCTCTAATTTTGAACTTAAACTTATACCGAATTAAGGTAAAACTTATTTTTGACCTGAATTGAAGCAAACTCTCTATCTCTTTTTGCCTCTCTTTATTATGTTGCTTCCATCATCGACACTTCTTTCATCACCGAAGTTTTCACAAATTATTTGAAGGTCAATAGGTAAGTTTTTTTTTTTTTTCTTCATCTTCTTGATTTCTTATATTTTTCAAAACCTTAATCTGACTCATCTTTCATCTTATATAAACCCTAAGTTTATCTATCAATTTTTTTTTTAATTTTTTGGAGTTAAACAGTATCGGTAGTACAATTTCAAACTACCGATTCTTCTTAAAATTTTAAACGTTTATTACCCACAAATTTAAAAAAATTGTCATTTTATTTCTTCAATCTTTTATTTTTGTTAAAAACATGTGATTTTGTGTTCTACAAACTAGGTCCATGTCAAAATAGTTATATTTTTTTTTTCTTTATCTGGATTTATAAAAAAAATGATAAGAGATTAGAACAATCTCATAATTCTAGAGTGATTTCTGTATTCCCATGTAGTATTTTATACATATTCATTTTTTTTTTTGAATTACCCATTTGTGGAGAGATATGAATATTTCATTTATTTTTTCAAATATCATGATTTGAATAACACAATACAATGAGTTTTGTGACAATAAAGAATTTTAAAAAAAATTTGAATAGATATTTGAATTTGTCCATTGGAGTACTATATAGTCTATACCAAATAAAATTTTTTACTCAAATTTGAATTATGGTTGGAGATGCTCTTATATATAAATCGCGTAACCCTTACAGTAGTTTAATGATTGAGTCTGTCATTTGATAACCCAAAAATCTCAAGTTCAATCCTCTCTCACACCTCTTAAGACTAGTCACTCTTGTCCTTTTGAGGACATAATTTAGATCAATTCAAGTCACGGTGGTTAGTCGCTGAGTTCGAGAGTGTAATCGGAACAAGTTTGAATATTCTGTTGATGGTGTATGAATGTGGATGAGCAATAATGGTGTATAGATTTATTCGCCCAGTTGGGTTTGAGCTACTGGGCTCGTGTAAATGGTGTATTAGCTTTTAGGAAATAAGGGATGCTTCACACAGTAAAATTATAGTGATTCACCTGTTTGGGAGTTCTGCTAATCCACTCTAATTAGAGTCTCTTGCTCTTTTGATCTGTATTAATGGTATGTGTGATTTATAGAGTGTTTCTGGTACCACTAGATTTACTTGCCCCATACCCGAGGCATTGTACAATATTTATAGTCTAATTTCAAGTTCTATGGGATTTGTGGCGAGATTCTCGCCTTTCTTCCATGGTGTCTTGTTTGATTTTAGGCGACAGTTGTGGTGGTTTGAGGATTTTGTGCCTAGACTAGAGCTTGTTACCGTTGGGAGGATACCTCGTGTATGTTAGTTGTCCTCCACTTATCTACTTCACGATGCAGGTGGAGGGAGTTCCAGGTCTGGACCTTAGAGCTCATACTCGATGAGCTGAGCTCTCTTCCTGGCCTCAACTCCCGAGCTCAAACTTGGAATTCTCTCTTGGTATCATCAGTTGCCCCCTCAGTCCCTGATCAAAGTGGGCTTGAGCAGGGGCTATGCTAAGGGTTGAGTTAAGGCAGACCTCCATATAGCGACCCCCGATTGTGCTCGAAGAGGTTTTCTTACGGTTATGTGTAATCATTTCTTTCTCGTTTTTTGTGCACATTTCATACTTCGAAGACCCACGTACCGTAAGCTTTAAATGTTTATGAGAAGATGAAGACCGCCTCATTTCTCTTTTCGGCCTATGTTTCTAGGCTTTTCCTTCCTTCTTCCTGGCGATTCTAGCTTCCCCAATTTGTTGGTGTTCTTAGGGCTCTAAAAAATTGGCTTTCCCTGATATGACTCAACGGTCTTGCAAGGCTCACTTTCTAATTTTGCTTTGGGCCTTTGATTCGTCTCTTGTCCTCGATTAGGTATGCTTCCTGGCTTTTAATCACTTCTTTGTTCTGGATCCCTCGAATCTGAGGTGGTTACTGCATTTATGGACTTTTCAATTCTGTTACTTTAGGAACCGAGACCACTCACTGTCCTCTCTTCTGCTTTTCTTGAATTCTTACTCTACTGCTAGAGTTTTCCTTATTAGTCACTAGTGTCTCGATCCTTCGATCCTTAGAGACTGTTTTGCAGAAGTTTTCCCTGTACAGGTCTTTTAGGCTCCCTCTTTCTTGTCCAATCATGTCTACTTCCTTTGAAGCTACGGCCTCGTCTGTTTCCCTTCTAGGCAAAAGGTCTGTTGAAGATGTTGACCTGGGTGATATGGGTGAGGAGATAGACAACTTTCCTGGCGTCGATTTTGTTGATGTCAAGGAAAATGCTGAGGATCTTCCCTTGTCACCATCACCTATGCCCAAAAAACCCAACAAAGGTAAAACCAAAGTAAGTGGCGTTGGGATTTCAAGCAGCACCAAAGGTACTGAGGTTGTTCACAGAGTTTTTGACCTCTTAGGTTGCAGTGAGGTTACACCTCCTTATTTGGGGGTACTATTTGCACACTTCGATTTTCCTAGGGGTGTAAGATATCGGTGCCCAGACCAAGACGTTCGGTATGATACCCCTCTTCATAAGAAGATCTGCTTCTTCGTGGCCGTTTTTGAGAATGGCCTTCGATTTTCAATACACCCCTTCCTTAAGAGTGTCCTGTAGCACTTTAACATTTGCCCTGCCCAACTTTCTCCCAATTTCTGGGGTGTTCTAGTGGGTCTCCTAATTTCTTTCAAAAAACATGACCTTGGAGTTCCCACCGTGTCTTTGCTTATGGAGTTCTTCAACGTTAAGTATCTTCCTTCCGATGGTTTCTTGTACATTTCCAAACGGGTAAAGACCCAAGTCATTATTTCTGACCTCCTAAACTCCTACAAGGGTTGGAAGAAGCTCTTCTTCTTTGTGCGAGGCAGAGAATGGGAGTACAATCCCACAGATGTGGCAAACACACTTCCAGTACCACATGCCTGGTCTCCTCTTGATAATCTAGGTAAGCCCTTACCCAAGTAAGTTTGGATCTGTTTTGGTGTTTTTTTTTTTTTGGGCTTACTTTGTTTCGCCAGTCTCATTTTGTTCCTCAAGTGTTCGTCCGAAGCTTAGTACTGTTGATAAGTAAGTTTTGCTGAGCTTAGAGGGCTGTGACCCAGAGAGATATTCAGAGTTCGTCAATCCTCAAGTTCTTACTGAGCTCGGGTTAAGTCTTCTAGAGGTGAGGTTGAGACTCCTATCCCAATTTCTGCGGTTGGGGCTGAAGAGGGAGCAGGTAGTATTTCTTCCTTTTTGTCCTTATCTTGCCTCATTTATTCTTTCTTTCTCTCTAATCTGTTTGTCTTTGTTCAGATGCTTTGCGTTCCAAGAATGAGGTAGGAATTTTGCTTCCTCTGTTTGCAATTCGTAGTTCCCAGATCTGACCACCCTTAAGATGATGTAAGGTCTTTCCCAATTAGGACCCAACTTTCTGTGAGAGGGATCATTTTTTGCAGGAAGGAGCTTTCTAAGCACTAGATCTACGACGCTAAAGCTCCTACATCTGACCCTTCCATTGTAGTATCTTGTTGTCTTCCTTTAATAACTCTTGATATGGTGCAGAGCTCCATCTCTCCTTTCATCCAAGAGGGTCAAGATTTAGCAAAAGCGACTCATCCTTGTGCTCGAGCTCCGAAAATTCAGGCCTAGGGGATGAGACTCCAACTTCTACGGGTGCCATTGCTTCAGTTCTGAAAGCCAAAGAAAATGGTGTCTCCTGGGTAGTCGACCTGGTAGTTGTTATGTACGTCTACAGCACTTCTAGGACGTATTCTACCAATTTTCCTTTTAGAGCTTGCAGCTTGGTCTTCAGGGCTACTTTTTATGGTTCGGATGGTGACCTCTGTCTGTTCATTCGATTGTGGATGAGCTGGAACTGAGAAGTAATTTTTAATTTCCAGCTTAGCACAAAACTTTTTGAACTTAGGATTATCGAATTGCTTCTCATTGTCAGAGACGATTGCTCTGGGATCCCAAACCTGTAAATTATTGATTTCCATGTGAAGTTCTGAATCTTCTGCTCTGTGATTGTCGCTAAGGGCTCTTCCTCTGTCTATTTGGTGAAGTAATGTACCCCAATGATGGTGAACCTGCACTGTCCGATACCAGTGAGAAGGGGACACAGTATGTCTAGGCCACACTATTGGAATGACCAAGGGCTCACCGCCGATGTTAGGAGCTCTGGTGGACAATGAAGGATGTTGGCGTGTAATTGGAAGACCTTACACTTTTTGACCAAATCTGTGGCGTCTTTGAGCATAGTGGACAAATAGTATCCCTGCCTTAATACTTTTCTTGCCAGAGCTCGAGCTCCGATATGGTTTTCGCAAACTCCCTCGTGGATTTCTCTAAGTATGTAGTTAGAGTCTTCATCTCCCACGCATTTAAGGAGAGGTACTGAAAAACCTTATTTATACAAGCTTCCTTGTAGGATAGAGAACCTGGCTAACCTAGTTCTTAGCTTCACAGCCTCCTTGGAGTCTTTTGGTAGGGTTCCATTCTGAAGATATTCCTTGATTGGATTCATCCAGCTTGGTGGGGCCAACACAGGGAGCACTTTTTTATCTTCAACACTTACAGATGGTTCTGCTAGGTGTTCTACTGGCATTAATGTATCCAGGTTTTCCTGAGAGGCTGTTGCTAGCTTTGCCAAAGCGTCTGCTTGTGAATTTTTCAGTTCTGGGGACGTGCCAAATTTTTACTTGCACAAATTTTTTGATCAACTCCTAAACTTTTTTAAGGTAAAAGACCATTTTCTCCCCCTTGGCCTCATAAGATTCTTCTATTTGTTTCACCACAAGGTGGGAGTCATTGCAAATCTCGAGTTGTTCTACCTCCATTAAGTGATTCAAATTGAGTCCCGTGATGACAACTTCATATTTTGTTCATTGTTTGAGGCCTTAAACCCGAGCCTGAGGGCGTACTCGACATCTATCCTATCAGGGGAGGTCAGAATTAGGCCAGCACCGTTTGCTTGAGCGTTGACGGCTCCATCTACTGAAAGTCTCCGTGTAGGGAGGTCAAGTATCAGTTGTGTTGCCTCCATAGGTGCTTCTAATGTGAATTCTGCGATGAAATCTGCCAGAATCTACCCTTTAATCGTCGTTCTTGGCTTATACCTAATATCAAACTCGCTGAGCTCTATGACCCATTTGACCAATCTTCCTGAAGATTTTGGTTTATGCAATATTTGTTTCATTGGCTAATCTGTCGGGACCTCAATGGTGTGAGCCTGTAAGTATAGCCTAAGTCTTCTTACTGTTGTAACCAAAGCTAAGACAAGTTTCTTCATTTTTGGATATTTCTTCTCTGCCCCTCAAAGCTCTGCTATAGTAATAAACTAGTTGCTGAGCTCTGTCTCGTTCCCGTACTAATGCTGCACTAGTTGAGAAA